ATGGCTGGATACTTTCTGCACAGACTCTAGAAAGCAAAATTGCTCCACAAATACGTCCATTGTAAGATTAATAAATGTAAAAATTCTGGAACCTGAATGTTCATACCATGGTAGATTAAGTAAAGAAAGAACTGTGCGAAAAGATTATAATGACATTATAAATTAAATTAAAATTTGAAAGATAGTCTTAAAAGACCTAAATACACACAAAGATATATTTCCTGGGAGTGAAGAATTAATGCCTTAATGATATCAATTTTTTTCATATCAATATATAAATGTAGCATAATACCAAAGAAATCTTGTTTTTAATTTGGAAAAATTAATTCTAAAACTTTATGGAAAAATGTATCATAATTATCAAGAAAATTGTAAAAGACCTTGATAAATCGCTTGCAGTAAAACCATAAAAATGTATACTATTTTTACAATACAGTTATCAAAATTGTGCATTATTGGCATACAAATAGGCATTTCAAACAAAACAAAATACTGTCCAAAATAGATATAAATATATATTAAAATATAATGCATGACATGTGATGCTAGAAATCATTGTAGAAATAATGAATTTTTCAATAAGGGTAGTGGTATAATGAACTATGCATTCAGAAAAGAAAAATATTAATTCTTTAGCTCATGTAATATTCAAAAACAATCCTTGAAATAATTAAAGGCCTATTAAAAAAAGTATTTTGCACTTTGTAGGTGCAAAGAAGCAATACTGAAACCCAGAGCCTTAATAGAAAAAAAAATTGATAGCTTTGACTAGGTGAAAACTAGAAATTTTTGTGAAGTAAAACAACATAAATAAAAACAAGGGAAACACAACAGGCATAGAGATATGTTTACAATATATTTAACAAAATTTTAATGCATGTAATAGTAAAGGAGAACTCAAAAATTAATTTTTAAAAACACAAACAGACCTAAAAACTGACACAGGATTTAAAAGCCACAGCATTAGAGAAAAATTTCAGATACTAATAAGTATATGAATTTAACCTCACAAGAGTTAAAGGGCCATTAATTACAAAAGTAGTAAGACAATTTGCTTATCAGGCTGACAAAAATTAGACTGATAAAATCCAGTGCTGGCAAGGATGTGAGAAAATATTATTGGTAAGAGTATATATTGCTAGTTATTTTGGAAGAATCTGAAGGAATATATAAAGATTTTGAATGTTCTCACCCTATGACTCGGTAATCTCACTTTTAGGTCTTTCTTCTACAACATTTTTGAAGAGCAATTGGCAGTGATCTATCAAAATTTTTGTTCTCATTCTTTTTGCCCCAACACAGCCACTTCTAAGAATCTATCCAAAGACACATGCAAAAATAATGATGGCAGCACTTTATACAATGAACACTGAAATGACCAAAGATCTACCAATGGAAGAATGGTAGACTGAATTAGAAACTAAGCCACCATTAAAAAGAATGGTTAAGTCTATGGCTAGTAACCGAGAATACATAACCTCATTAACCTTTAAAAAGACTAGTCACAGAAATTATTTTATTATTAGTTAAAATATATGCATGTGCATACAGAGACATGACTACATACTTGCAGGGAAAGAACAGATGTGCAGGGATACATTGATGGTGGTCACCTCCGGAGACGGAATTCAATGAAGCAGGAGGCTCTGTGAGATTTGGGAGGAGTATATTTTACTTTCCAGATACAGATTTTTTTTTTAACGTGTTGGGATTGTGGGTCACTTTTTAAAATTTCTTTTGGTATTTTTAGCATTTTCTTTTGTTTTCTGGTTTTTTAGGGGGAAAAGTATGGTCCTCAAAGGAGAAAGATGGAAGATCAATGACAGAATTGTTCCCATTCAGGAAGAAGGGGAAAGAAGAAGGATCCTGGCAAAAGCCAGCATAAGAATGAAACAGAGGAGAACTAGGGGCAAGCAGGGGCTGAATACCCAGGAATAGGAGCTCCCTGGCGGGAGAGCGAGCGATGCCGAGCGCAGCAGAGGCCTGAGGTGGCGCTGCCCAAGAGCAGATGATGAGTAGCCATGGTGGAAACTGGGTGCAAAGGGGATTAAGAAGCCCTTTTCCACCCTGCCGGCGCATCTTTGTAGAAACAGAGAAATGAGGGCCCTAAACCCCTTGAATCAAAAGCTTTGCAAGGGACACCCAGTCTGGGAACCTTTGGAACACTCCTTAGAGGACTGCGGCTCCGCATGGTTAAGAACCACTGAGTGAAGGCGTCGAGAGCATATTGAGTAGGAGAAGCTGGTGGGTGGCGATCGTAGGATCACCAAGTGAGCCAGGTGAAGAAAGGAGTGAATTCAATTGTAAAGCCACCAAAAGGGTTAGCTGAGATGAAGGGGCACGTGAGACAGAAAAGATTAAGTATGCATGGGGGAAAAGGGAAAGGAAAAAAGCAACCTCGTGTTTCTAGACTTTCTGTCATTTGTCAGGCATTTCACATATGTTATCACCGTTATTATTCCCTTTACTGGTGATTAATAATCAACACTGTTAGTTTTGAGGCGTATATCACTGCATCCAATTTACTGTGAGACAAGTAAAGCTTCAGGAGTCCAGATGAATAGTAAGGACCAAAACCCATGCCAAAGGCTGAGCTTTTTCCTCTGCATCTGGCAGCGGAGCAAGGTCTTGGAGGCAGTAGGAGGGATGGGGGCCAGGACTCAGCTGGAGGGAGAGCTTGGAAAAAAAGAGGAACACATCCACTTGGACAATGGCAAGTCAGAGACATGCAAGATGGGAACACACGTAAAGGGGCTGGAGTGTGTTAACACGCAGAGAAAGAGGTAGTGGCAAAACAATTGTGGGGCAGTAAAAAGAGGTTGAGGACTTCCTTCGTCACGTCAGTAAAGTTGCAGTGTGGCAATTGACTGAGACGAATACTGGCGGCTTAGTGACAGTGCCTGTGTGCTGCACAACACAGTGGGAAGCCAGCCTTGTCCTTCTCACCCAGTGAGATGTGGATGAGCCCCTCAGTAGCCCACCTCTCATCTGCTGGAAGCCATGGGCACGGATAAATGGAGCTGCCTGCAGTCAGCTGGGAACTGCAAGGAGGGAAAGCAAGGTTTCTGCCTTCCAAGAGCTGACAGTCTAGAATTACCTAGAGTGATTTTTTTTTTTTTTTGCCAGCTATTGAAATTGTCTGATTAGAACAAGTCCAGTAAAAGAAATGAACCCTTTGCTTTTCAAAAATCATATAGAAATATTCTGCCACTGAAATCCCATGTCACCCAGGGGTTTTGAAAATGAAAAGGGGTTGTATTCTTTCATGGCTACCCGTAAAAGAATGTAAATATAGGTTAAAGAAGTATCTCCCATTAGCTAAGAAGTCTAGGGTTTAATGGCACAAGGCTATATTATTGAACAGGAAGCATCAGGGGATTACCCTTGTGCAGGTAACTTGGGGCTTCCAGCCCAAAAGGATCACCAAAGCATCCTGGGATTTTTAATGACTTCCCGAGGCTTGGCAAGTGCCTGCTGCTGAATGTCATGTGCCAGTTATTCCAGAGAGGCAATCAATCAAAGAGGGAAAGTACAGCATTTCAATATTTTTGTTGAAACTTGTCAACAAAAGTTTGCTGCCACCAATCCAACAGGCATCTCCAACCTGGAGTGCGGGGTGTGCAGCCTCTGAAGGAAAGGGAAAGGGTATGTCCAGAAGACAAAGGGAAAGCCCACTTTTATAGAAAAAGTTCCTGCAGGTCCTGATTGGCCCATATTTATGTAAATGAGGAATCCAAATTTACAGCCTGATTGGTCTAAACAGCACTGTCCACTGTCCTAATTGTTTGGAATCATATGTTCTGATTGGTCATGAAATTGCTCTGATGCGGTGAAGAGGCAAATGAAGACATAGCTGTGCAACTCTGATTAAATGGGGCAGGTCTCGGCCCATTGGTTGAAAGAGAATTCCAGGGACTCCTTTGAAAGGGTCTGCTCAGCCTGCAGGATCTCAGCGCTGGGGCCTGGCAGCCGATCTGTGGCTTTCCCCACCAGTGCAGCATGAGTAAGAGACCCCTGTCAGCAATGGCTTCTAGACTCTGATTATGAATTTGAGCCCAATTAACCACAAGAAGTCCTTTTTGACAGGTATATTTCTTCTTGGGGTCAACAAACTCAATAGCCCATGCTTAAAATATTTTCTGGGTGCCCCTCAGAGTTATGAAACAATCACATGCAATATTAATGAAATCAGAGAGACACTAGCAACTTACTAACTAAGGGATAACTATTTGATTCAGGCAACTGCTATTCGTTTCAGTATTTTTCTTTTGCAAGAGAAAAGGTGGTGGTTGTGAGTGGCTTTGTTATTATAAAAAAAAAATGCAATCCTAGTAGAAAAAATAAATTCTCTATCTGTGGAAAACAACAAAAGCATGGATTTTTTAGGCACTACCAATATTTCTGTGTTATACTCACGTGGCAGAGTATAAGCACAGTACCCTGGAAGTCTGGGCTTTGTGGTATCAAAAAAAGAAAGCAAAACTTCCTTGGGTCACTGACTTTGTTTTCTCTTGCCCTTTTCCCTCTGACCCTTCCTTCTCAGGATGGGTGAGATTCAGCTCCCTGGAGCCTCCCCTCCTATGTTGTCAAGCTGCTGTTTAAAGTTATTCTGAAATAAAGAAATAAATTGGACACGGAGACACTCCACATCTTGGCTATCAGGGGAAATATCACCTTTGAGGTCACTGACTATATTAAGCCATTTTTATTATTGTTTTGTCTATTTTCTGGTTCCGTCTCAGTGGCAGATGTGTAGCTCTGATCGTGCAAAACCAATCTGGGGAGAATCTGTTCTTTCTTCTGCATATCGGTGCTGCATTCCGGCTCCCCCAGCTACCTCTCTCACCTTTGAAAACTGGCAGTCTGGACATTTCGCATGCTAAAGAAAATCACTGTTTTGCCTCCAGCAAGGAACATAAATGTTGCAACACTGACTCCTCCCCTGATGAAGAAAGAGTGAACAAGTGCACGGAGTTGAGCTTTTGCTCAGAGAGCCACCGGGCTGGGGACGGTGGAGCCGAGGCTGAGATCCCGAAACAGCGTCTTCTGGGCTGAGCTGCCCCCACCCGCGCTCCCCTTCCCTTCCCTTTCTGCCTCGTTCCTCTCCCTCCTTCTGGATTGTACCGGCTGTTCGTGAAACAGCTTTACACACGGTGGATTTCCCGGTTCCTTCGCTGGAAGTGCTTACGGACTGATATGGCAGACTTTGCTCCCCGACAAAAGTGAGTAGCTACAGCGGGCGCAGCCTACGGCGGGCGCGTGCGACTGGGGTGGCGCGGGTGGCGCGGGTGGGGCGGGCGGCGCGGGTGGCGCGGCGGCCGAGCTGTGGGTTCGAGGCCGAGCGCGGGAGGCGGACGAGGGCGGCCTCGGCTCGGGCTGCTCAGCAGCGCGCAGAAAGGCGCCGCAGCCGGCGGTGGGGCTGGGAAAGCGGGGCTTTTTCTTTGAATTGAATTTATCGGGCTGACGTTGGTGCAGAGAACCACGCAGGTTTGGCTTTGACCGCAGTCAGCGTTTAGGTCCCTGATCAGAAGAACTAAAAATATTGCCCCCCGCCTGGCGTTTACACCTGCACGCGTTCGTTTTTTTAAAAAGCGCCTTCGGATGCATCTTTGCAAATGAGTTTCGGCGTGACTGTGAAATTCTCAAAATGTAAATTCTTTACGTCAAGTTGAAATTAAAAAATAAAAAAAAAAGGAAGGGGAAGGGGTTCAGACACGGTGCTGGGACGAGCGCGGACCGGAGGATTTTCCCGAGGCGGCAGCCGCAGCCGCAGCCTCCCGCCGTCCGGTGGGGAAAGTTAGCGCTCGCGGCTCGGACCCGAAGGGCGGAAGGCGCGGCTCCCCGCCCCCAGCAAGCCCAGGCAGTGTGGGTGGTGGCAGGTAAGCAGCTCCGGGCTGTAACCACTGTGACTCGTACTCTAGAGCAGGAGGGAGGCAGTTTGACCCGGGCCGAGGAATCCCAGCCCGAGCTGGGAGGACAGCGGGGCTGAGCCGGGGCAAGGGAGCCGGGAAGTCCGGCGAACTCCGGTACCGGGGGAGCCAGAGCGCGGCGCAAGGGACAGGAGAGCGAGGGCTGGACTTCTAGCGCTTTGAGTGGGAAAATATCCTTTTAGTGACCTCTACCTGTATTCCGGGGAAGCAACCCTCGTTGCCCTAATAACAGGCAATTTAGGGTTCTCTACGGTTGCGCTGGAAAAAGGTTGCATCGCTATCAGTCTGGAGGGATTCGTTTGTCTTCATTCATCAAGTTGGCTGGCAGAGATTTCCCACCTGAGTCTCCTGCTTCTTGGTCAGCGGGAGTGCTGCTAATCCTGGCGCTACCCAGGGCTTGCCACCGTGGGCAAGCCTCTCCCCTGGGCCTCAGTTTTCTTTGCAATATTTAGGAAGTTAATTATTCCACATATAAAATATAACCCGTTAAACATTATATGTGTGCATATATGTGTATGGGGGGGGGGCGGTAAAAGTACTGAACAGTGCCAGGAAAGAGCAGATCAAAATTAATTTTACTGGTTCTTTAAAATTGGAGGTCGTGGGTCTTTTCGAAAATTAGCTATGAGTCCTCTTCCAGGGTAGGGGTAGGGGGAAATGTTCTTATGGAATATATGTCAAAAATTACAAGCAGTCCCTGATGGTTCATAAACACTCCCTGATGACCCTGCCTAAACCCCCCGGTAACCATTCCTTGTCTAAAGGAAGCCTTGCCTTGGAAGACTTCCACCAAGACCAAGCAGGCAACCTCCGCGGGCTGTTGGATGGCTGTGGTAACAGCCTACAGCCTTCCCTGGGTCTGCAGGCAGCCACTTGCGTAAATGAAAGCTCTCCTTTCGGGAACTCCCAGGACACTGTTTCCCAAGGACTTCCCCAGTCTCTGCCTCCTGAGAAACCCTCCTCACAAACTCTCTAAATGGCTTTCCTAATGTAGTGACCCTCCTGCTTGGGAGTTTTCAGTCCTAGCGACAGCACTGGAGAGCCACCTGCGGAGGGTGACAGTCTGTCTCAAAGAGAGCTCTTTAGGTCACCTAGCTAGATGTAGGACAGTGGGACTTCGTTTCAGAACGAAGGGCCATTTGCTCCCCAGCACATAGTAGGAATAGCAGCGGGTGTTCGTTTGGACCTCTGTGCTTTGCCTTTCAGGGACTGGGGACTCAGGTTTTGTGGGGCCTGGGTCTTCCACTGGCAATGCCAGCGAGGAACAGCAGAGGACACAGAGAGCTGTGCAACCCAGCAGACGGGGCTTCGAGCGCTGGCTCCCACACTTCAGCAAGTCAGTGCTCCGGGCCTCACTTCTTCTGTCTGTAAAATGGGGAACAACACTGTCTTTCTTGCACAGCTGACAGGAGAACGGAAGTAGTATTTATATAATGCCTGGTCTATAGTCCATGAAAAACTGCTGTTATAAACAGTAATGGAAGACTTTAAGTAAGTGTTAAATAGTGCCTTGCGTTTTAGAGCAGCATCCCTCCTATGGGGCTTATGTCAGTAGAAGGAGTAAAATCAATTCTGGTCTAAATATTCTGAAAGATGAGTGGTGGGCTCGGAACGGAGTTGGGTTTACTGCTTCATCTTCATTAAGTAGAGCACTCTGTGTTGCCAGCAAGTGAAATGTGTCCAGACAGGCATGGATTCTTAACCCTTTTTTTCTTTCTCTTTTGGCCCATAATCTTGAATACAAAACACCCAGCTCTTTGCCTATAGCTACAAACAGCTGGGCATGGACACTGCAGAGGTCTGCTGGCTGCGTCCGGCCCCAGACACATCGCAAACTCTCCCTGGAGAGAGAAATGGCTCCACGGTCATCTTTCAGCGCTTGGCAGAGACTGAGCCAATTCTCTCTCTCTCCCTCCTTCTCTCCCTCCCCCCGATCCTGGCCCCTCGGTTGCAAGAAATTGGATGACATAGAAATATTACAACCTTAAAAGGAAGTATGTTACCCTCAAAGTGCCCATTCCAAAGATTGATCAGTATATTCTGGCAAAGCATTCTTACATTCAAAGATGACAATATTGATACTTATTCATTTAGCCTTCAAGCTGTGCTAAGCATTTTCTTATATAACCTCAATGAATTTTTATATCAACCTTGCAGGGTATAAAGTATTACTTAAAGCTTTACAGATAGAGTAACTGAGGCTTATAAAAATTTACAAAATTTGCCCAGTCTGCATAGCTGCTGGCAAAAAGCTGGATCTAAGCCCTGGTCTGTCTGACACTCTCTCCTAGAGCTGCCAAGCTTCCCGTATCAGAAAGCTGCATTGTGCCAGCTGGGTCCCGGTTCTCCTAAGGAGCAAGAATAATCAATTCTCTGGATGGTTTTAAGTGGTGTGAACATATGTTTGTATGTGATGCATAGCGATAGGCAGCAACAATAAAATCACAGGTGGAGAATAATTTTCCCACCCCTCCCCAGGCCCTGCTGTTAGTTAGATTCAAGATACCAAATATCAAACTTCAACAAGTGAGGCTGGCACGAAGCCAATGACTTCCTGAGAAATTCTTTTAGGTTAAAAAGAGCTCTAGAATTTCCATTTTCTCCTACCTTTAAAATCAGGGCACCATTTACATTTACCTTCCTGGGTTAAGCATTCGTGCATTCATTCATTCATTCATTCATTCATTCATAGAATGCTTGTTGAGCTCTGAATAAGACAGACAAGGTCCTGGCTCTTGTGAAGCTTCTCTGCCAGAGACAGCAACAGATAAGAGGCAAGGGAACAAATATATAAATAAGATACTTTTAGATATTGATAAATGCTATGAAGAAAGTAAAGAGAGGCTGGGGACTAGAGTGTACTTACTGGGGCTTGGAGACAACTTTAAATAAGGCAGCCAGAGAAGATTTCCATAATAACTTTATGTTCTCCCTTGAACTTAAACTTGCATCATAAGAGGGGACCAGGCCGTGACAGTATGGGGAAAAGGCTGCCTTAGCAGAAGAAACCTCAAGGGAGATACAGGAAGCAGTAGAGCCTCAAATACAATGAAATGGCCTCTTAGGAATCACGCCGGGTTTTGTATGGGGGGAATTATTGTTTCATTGCCTATTATACTGTTTTGAGCTGTGCTATGTACTTTATACTTATTTAATCTCCTCAACAATAGTGAGTTATAACTATTTTTGTCTTGATTTAATAGTTGAAAAAGCCAAGACTCATAGAAGATAAGCAACTAGCCCAAGGTTACAAAGCTGGGATTTGAATCCCATAGTCTGTTTAGCTCCAAAGCAAAACCGAAATGTGACAAAAGAATAAACTACACCCTAGATTTCAAAGAACTAGTACAAAAAAAATGCATACATTTTTATAGTGATTATATGTTAGAATGATAATATTTTAGATATATTGGTTTAGATGAAATTTATCAAAATTAATTTCATCTGTTTCCTTTTAACTTTTTAATGTGGTTGATAGAAAAATTCAAATCATACTTGTGACTCACATTATATTTCCGTTTATCAGCACTGGTATAGAATAATAATTTGACACAGATATGATAAGACATTCGTCTTCCTTCTTCCTAACGTTAACTTTTTCTCTCACCCAGACTCCATGTGAAGTCTGTCCCCAAATCCAGTTATTCAGTGAAGCAGTAGACAAGAGAAAAAGAGGTCCCTCTGCACACTCCCCAGCTCATTCTTTTGCTGGGCAAAGGATAATTTGTAGCCACTTTATCATGTCACTATAGTAACATTCATCATCACCCATCCTCTTATTCAGGCAAATCTAAAGAAATTTTCAAGCATCCTATGACCAAACGGTCATTTTGAATCTGGGTTTACAGTTTTAACTTTAAATCACTTCCCAGGACAATGTCTCTGTTGTTCGCAGTACTTCATAAAGTCAGACTAGGGGTCAGCCAGGGCTGCTTCTTTGTGTGCAAAGCTCATGGCATAAGTCATCTCACTGTGGTGATAAATGTTTCTTCCTCTCTGTCCTTTTGCTTAAAATGGTTTGAGCAAGATGCAGCCCGGCTTTCCAGAAGGGCTGCTCCAGAGACATCCCAGGAGGCCCCTTGGGTTTCTCATGTCCACCAGCTAACGTGGCCCTTGAGTATGTCAGTGAAGTAAAGATCTGATTTGTTCCCATAGTTTTATTTCTTCCAAAGGGGAAAGCAGTCAGATTCTGGTATTGTTAGAGGAAGCCTCTGGCCTGGGATATCGGAGGCCTGGGTTCTACTTTTGATCACTGGAACGTGTGTTACCCTCACCCTCCTTCCCCCAAGAAG